CCCCCCCCGGAACGTGTTAGGGAAAAGCCTTTTAATGGGGTACAGCTCCATTTTCGGAAGGGGGGCGGGCAGGGTGCAAACTGGTGTCGCCAATCTCTTCTTGGTAGGATTTCTTTTTCCTGTTGAGAAAGTTGATGATGAAACTGAATCATGCCATGCATTGGTGGTTTTTTTTGACGTATATGTTTACTCATTAAAAGTCAGATGAGGACACAGGTTAGTGAGTTAATTTATCACAGGGAATCTGCTAATTTAAAATCGCTTTTATTTTGTAGATACTGAAAACCTGTAAGAAAAAAAAATCTGTGTTTAAAAAATGTCCTTTTTTTTTAAGCTATCTATGCCTCTTCAGTATTTTTTATTCAATAATTTCAGCATTTTAGTGGGAAACTGACTTTCTTTTATTATCCAGAGTGAGAGAAATGCAAGATTATATTCAGAGGGTAGTGAAGCAAATGACACCTCATCTTACCCTGAATAATTACTGTATTACTAGTGGAAGAAAAACGTTGGTTTAAAACATCTTATTTCTAAAGTCAGCATCCAGCTTTTTTTCCTCATTGTTATGAAACAAACAGTACAAACTCCTGTTGTCAGCTGGATCTCTGTAGTTTGCAATGTCTTCGAGTTCAAGCTAGTGGACCTACAGAAATGAAGAACTGGCTATTTATTTATTAAATATCCTAAAATACTTTTCCCCTGAGGATTTGGGTTCGTATCACAACAATATTCAATCTGACAAATAGAATCTGAAATTATGTGTGCAGTTCATTCATACTTTTATTTAAATTGCTTGAATTGCTAATGTTACTCATCAGGTGGTGGTAACTTGCTCTCATTTCTAACAAGGACCGAGTCTGAACTGACAGCGTGTAAATTCCTATATGCCAATTCTGGTAATATCCTGAGCCTCATAGCCCCCTTATCAGGTTGGCAGTTTCTGCTTGATTTGTTTGGTGCCATATGTTGTTTCAGACTTTGCCTGGTTGTTAGTGTTGACTTGTTAATACTGTTTTTTATTGCAGTTATAAACCTGAAGTAAACAGGAGGAAGAAGTGACAATGTCTTCAGATGTGTCAGAATATACTATTGGGGGAGTGAAGATTATATTCCCTTGCAAGGCTTACCCTTCACAACTTGCTATGATGAATGCTGTAAGTGGACTTTATATTAACATTGGCTAAACTAATAGCTTATGTTTTCCGAGCCTCCAATATCTTGAGAATTTCAGTTGTAACATAACTTACTGTTCTCTGTACAATGATATCTGACCCATAACTAGGGAATGCTGAAGTACATTTTGGATTTGTGACCATTTATGCTAAGAAGTAAGTTATGTGCTACGTAATATATATGATTATTTAATTAGATATACTGTAATAGAAATCTTATATAATTTTGCAAGTATGTGAGGAAGGAATGTTTTAGTAAAACATCTGTCTTAAACGGAATGTGATATTTCAGTAAGTTTTCACTTTTTGGAGAGTTTTTAAAAATGAATTATTATACTTTATATTTAAGCATTTTTAAACAGCTTTAACCATTTTTGAACTTTTTTTCATTGTGGGAGAAATGGTTTGGTTGTGTAAGACTAAGGGAAGCAAGCTTGCCCCCTCAGGTATTGCTCTTAGCAGGTAGGTATTTCACAGCCCGTATAAGTGAACCTCTGAGTCTTGCTAATGAGCCATGCTCCTCTTGAAAGAAATACAGCTAAGGTTTGTTGACCTGTTGTTATTATTAAAGGTGATTGGGGGGGGGTTGATTTTCTTTTCTTTTTTTTTTTAGAAGACAGCAGGTGTCCTGCTCTATTTTCAGAAGTTTTCTAGCTTAGTTAAAGACATCCCCTTTGGTTTTTTTTCTATTAATTCTGGTTTTGTTCTTATTCCCCTTAAAGATTGTTAAGGGCTTAAATAACAGGCAACACTGTTTGTTGGAGAGCCCCACAGGAAGCGGCAAAAGCTTGGCGTTACTTTGCTCTGCATTATCATGGCAGCAGTCTCTGTATGGTAAGTTGTGTTAGTGTCTGTTTGCCCAGTTTTTGTTACCAAAATGTGTTATAATGAATTGTTGTTGGTGTTGCTTATCAACCTTTAAACATTTGGTTTCAGGAATCTAACCAGGTCTTTTTTGACGATTATATGTATTGGCGACATAAACCAGTTGTGGCCAGTAACACTAAGCTGGATTTAGCTGTCTGTTGTCATGAGGAAATTATATGGCTGTTGGAACTTTGAAAGAAAATACTTGTGGATTGTAGTTATGTGGCTTGAGTTGACAAGGAGGGGTATTTTTCATTTCTGCAAGTTGTTACAGTTCTTTGCACTGTGCTTCTTCAAAGGGAGATGAGAGCTTGTTCAGCCTTTGTAGAGACATAAGGTTCATAACTGGTACCTATACAAAATCTTTCATCTTAACTGTTTTGAAAGTCTAGTTCTCGTGTATGGTCTTGAGTAGTTTTTAATGGAAGACAAATGACTGTGTCCTTTAGAGAAATCACCGGTTACATCATCATGTGAAAAGGAAGACAGAAAGCTAGAGACCTCCCCACTGTGTCGCTGCACGTGTCATTCCCAACCTAAGAGCAACGAGGCTGCAACAAGTGTGAATCATGGTGCTTCTTGTTCTTTTAATAATTATGAAACAGGAAGTTCCATAAAACCGGGAAGCCCGCTAACAAACACAGGTAACTTCATACACAGGCAGCTAAAAATCTGGTTTGGAAGTAAAATACTTAGCCAGTGATGTCACTTTTTTTGCTTTCAAGTCAGGGACTTTTTTTACCGTCATAATAATTGGATTGATTCTGCCCTGCATGGAAATCTGTATGGAAATGGTGGTTAATGGGTCTAGAAATGTCTAATA